ATCCTACTTCATTCTTGTTTTTTTAAATTTTTTATGTTCTTGTTTGTGTTGATTTTTTTATAATATTTCGTATTTTCGTTGGTTGTTCGGAGTCCTACTTCATCTTGTTTTTTTTTAAATTTTTTATGTTCTTGTTTGTGTTGATTTTTTTAATAATATTTATAGTATTTCTTTAGTTGCAATTGTGATACTTGTTGATTTTACACAAACAATAATTTTCTTTATTATTATTATCATTGTTATAACATTTATGAGAGACAGCATTGAATAGACATGCTGAAGGAATATCAACTATACTGATGACAAGTGAAACTAATACTAGTCTTGACACAAGTCCTTGTTCAAGAATCTGTGAGCTAAGAGTGTCCATCTTCTCTGCTATTCCTGTTCTTCCAGGCTGTTGTCAAGTTCATAATTATCATTGCATATCATAAGTCATAACATTAATTAATTGTTTGTTTTTTTTAAATAAAATAAAATAACACACTTGATAAAACAGTAACATGTAAAACCAATACCTTCTTTTAGCTGGAAACCTCCACTAAAGTATTGCAGTAACTGCCAGTAAGTTGATTCCAAGCATAGCTTGGTAAAAAATAAATTGCTTCTTCCAGAGCTGCAGATCTGCATCTGAGCATGCGCGACCACACCCAAATTTTGGAGCACATGGCAAGCTTCTTTAATTAACAAAATGGCGGCATGTAGCTAAGATGGCTCGATCCAGCAGTCACAGTATCACTTTTTCCTTACTTGAAGAATGAAGCTGATGGGACATGGACCTGCGCATAGACTGTTGGAGTAGATTGGTGTAAGAATTATTCTTGTAGCACCAACTGATACTGAGATACACACCGACAACTGGATTGACAGGACTTGATTATGAAGATGATGATGATGAAGATGAAAAAAGGTGGCTGAACAAAACGGCCGGTTCGCCGATTTTTGACTTTTCGCTTAGACAAGGTCTAGAGCCACGCTAGTGGTACCATTGGAGTCCTCTGGTCAAGATAAGGTCCTCTAAGAAGTCTGGTAAGCATAGGAGCTCGTTTTCCCGGTATAGCAAGGCTGCAAAAGTCGTGGCAGCCATTTTGTTTGGGGGTGAATCCTACTTAGTAACGCTACCGCGTTACTAATAGTACAGGGATTTTGGTCAAATTTCGTCAAAAATGAAAAGTAGAGAATTCTCCGTTTTTAAATTTTCTCCTGATACATATACATGTTTTTGTGTTGCGTAGCAAGTTGGAGCTAATTCCAATCAAATTCAAAATTTTTACGAAATTTTAAAGTTGCTAAAAATCAGCCCAAAGTCCCTGTACTATATAGTACAGGATCCTTGATCAATTTTCATCAAAAATTACGTATACATGTACATGTACATACAAAGAATCCCTTCCCTCTTTCTCTTACCGTCCACAATACAAAGGTTAGGGTCTTTATTTTGACTTGAGGAGTAGCCCAGAGCAGCTGAGGTTAGGAGACTAGGGAGGACTGGAGCAGCATTAGGAGGGAAGAGAGGAAGGGGAGGGGTCAACGCCTACACAACAAATAAAAATAATAATAAATAAAATATGAATTGAAAAGGTTTGATCAGAATTACAAAATAATTAAAATACATGTACATATTGTCTACTAACTTATTACAACTACAATGTATTAGCAACTAAGGCCAGTTATTTATAAGCAACCTTTACTATTATTATATTATTTAAATAAATAAATGATTATACATTCATAATTAAAGACACTTTTACCAATGTAAAGCTAATACATTTAAGTACCCATTATATACATTAACTAAATCTGCCTTTTACTAGTTAATTATTATACTAATTACTAGGGGCTTACCCATCCCACCCTCAGGAACTGTCCCCCCAGATCAAACAGGTTCATTGATGAGATGGCATCAGCTGCACTTTTATGA